GGTGATTTTGTGGCATCTTAACGAGCCACCTGGCATTTAACTGACAGAAGGACCATTTTGGTACCAAAAATGAAAGTTTAAGGATAATTTTGGTACTTTTTAAAGGTGAAGGACAATTTTGGTACCAAAGTGATAAGTTGAGGGACTAAAATGGTACTTAAACCTTAATATTATGATGAACAAGACTTCAGGGTTCACTTAATTGATTTTTTTAACTGTTATAAATTTTGATTCCTATTTATTACTCAATTGCATGTTTCACATCCCAAACAAACAATCGGAAGATTCAACTTTGAAAATCAATAATAATGACTAATGTATTTATTCTGAGAAAAATTAATTTCAATGAAGAACAAACTGATCTATCCTTACGAGCTATCCAAGAGCGACAATATATCTAATCAACAATACTGCAGTAAAGGATCAACCCGCAAAACAAATCTACCAATCAATTATATTCTAACAAATCACACATAAAAAGAGCATGACTAATCTTATATGAAATTTGATAAATATAATTTTCAGGGTTTTCAGATCTGAAAATAATTAACAATCTCTCAAAAATAAAATTAAATAATAAAATCTATGAAGGAATCAAAATAAAATAACAAGTCAAACTCTTCAATGAAGATCCTCCCTAGTCTTATTAAAAGTTTAGTTGCCCTTTAACATAATTCTCTAACCTTGAAGAAGAAAATAGAAGTCTGGTAGCAGCCTCTCCAGCCCCTCGAACCCCCTCTAAAATAACTTGGATTGGTATTTATAGAATCCTAGAAACCCTAATTAGAATGGATGTGGGGCTGGGCCAAATTACCGCGCAAGGGGTCGACACTCTTTACAAGGTGCCGGCACTTTGAGTGGAGCGTCAACTGCCCCTCCGTGTCGGGTTTTTGGCCTTTTGTGCAATTTCGCTTAATGGCAGAATAACAGTCTTGGTACTTGACTCCTAGATTCCGTGCAAGTTGATCATCATATTTCTGAGCTTTGCAATTTGCTCCTTAATCAAGAATGGAGAAAATCTCACTTGAGCCTTTAAACTTTTGATTTATCCTTAGATCCTCATCTTTTCAACTCTTTGCATTTAAGTCCTTTTTCTTCTAATTCTCTCTATTTAGTCATCAAACCTTTAATCACCAAAATTTTGCACAACATGAATAGAGTGAACAATTATAAAATTATTTGTAGAAAAATATAACTCTTAAACCCATAATTCCACAAATGTTCATGGTTAAGCACACTTTAGATATACATTTTCATGCTTTCATCATGCTTTAGCTCAAATGCCTAGTTATGCCAAGTTCTTGAAGGAGATATTATCCAACAAGAGGAAACTGGAAGAACATGAGATTGTGAATCTTACTGAAGAATATTCAACAATTCTTCAAAATAAGCTTCCTCCAAAATTAAAAGATCCAGGGAGTTTTACAATTCCTTGCACTATTGGAGACTGTCAATTTGGGAAAGCTTTATGTGATTTGGGAGCTAGTATTAATTTGATGCCCTTTTCTGTTTTCAGGAGGTTGGGATTAGGAGAACCAAAGGCAACCACAGTATCTCTGCAACTTGCTGATCGATCCATCAAATATCCAAGGGGTATAATTGAAGATATACTAGTAAAGGTGGACAAATTTATTTTTC